ATGTGTGTGTATATATGAATACAAATATGTGCGTACAAGGCAGATCCACTTCGTATATTCATCGAGTTAAAAGGCTGTCTTTCTTTCGTTTGGAGTTTCAAAAGACTAAAGGCTAAAAGGTATGCATGCAAAATACTTCTCTTACTTATATTTTGTGAGTTCTTTTCTGCTATTAATACTATATTTTAACTAAACATGCATTTTGCAGTATCATCATTAAACATTTCAGTTATCTTCCGACATTAATGAATTATTTGCTTTTTTTTTTTCTTTTTGTGCATATGTTATTTTTTCTCGAAAATATCTCAACCGTGTCATTTTTTTTCTTAAGAAGAAACCCTTTTCAGGATGTTTTAGGTTGTGGAATGTAGGTTCGCCACAGTTCCGGTTTCAAAATATTTGGAATTATAACATAAATGAAAAAATGCGGAATCCATGGTTTCAGGCTGTTCATATAATTTTAAAATAAAAAAATTTAGAATCAGAATCAAACCCAATTCTCAATTCCATTTCCGCACGGTTTCGATTCTAGTTGCAACCAGTTCCAAAGTGGCAGTTCTAGTTTCGAACATCGAATTTTGGCCATCCTAGTAGAGTGTTATTTGATAATTGTAGCACTTCTCGCAAGAAGTTAATAACCCTAAAATTTGGATGATTCTTCAGGTGACCTTGCATTTTATGAAAATTTAATTATAATTTTACACTTTCACATTTTAATAATAACTATATCTCTCACCAAAATAAAATAACTTTATGGATGTTCAATTATGACTATGCACTTTCATGTTTCATTTTGGTAAGAGACGTGATTGTTACTGAAATGTGAAAGTGTAGGGTTATGATATGTTCTCATAAAGTTTGAAAACCACAAGAATAATTGCCAAAAGAATAACATCAAATTGATGTTATTCAATCAAAAACTAAAGTTTGTAATTGTAAGTTAAAAGCAAGAGTAATTTATATTTTGAATATTAATATTTTTAATTTTTAATTTTTGGTGATGGTTTAAGCTCTTTTCTGATTTTTCCGAAATAAATTTTTAATTTTTGGTGATGGTTTAAGCTCTTTTCTGATTTTTCCGAAATAATAGTACCATGTATTCGCCAAAATAGTCAATAATGACGTGAAAAAAATTACCTATAATTAATAACTTGAAACTTCTTGTCCGTCTCGGTTAAGGCTGCACATGACCCGTTATCGAATTCAAGCGATCCAACTCAACTCGGCGGAATTGAAGATATAATGGATTGGGTTGGGCGGGTCATATTTACAAATTCATGGGTTGAGTTAGGATGGATCACAAGTTCATTAGATGAACCCACATACCCGACCCAATCCTTAAATAAATTATGAATTATTTAGTTAATTTGATTTGATTTGTAATTTTAAATATAAATACTAAATTATTTACATATTTAGTAGAGATCACAGTTTGCTTTTGGAGTATACTATAGTTTAAATTAAACATATTATATAATTATGTTAATGAGTATTTTTAATTTATTAATCGTCTTTTTTATTAGGAAATTTAATATTTCCTGTTGATTATGATTATGATTATGATGATAATAATAATGAACATGTTAAGAAATTTAATTTTAATATTGTCATTGAAATATATTTGTAGTTTATGAAAATTATTAATTATTGTATACTTAAGATTTTAAGTATATTTAATTTTTTTATTAATCCTTTTAAAGAGTTGTATTTTATTTAAAAATAATTTTATTATTATCATTTATTGACCCACGGGTTTATACTGAATCCATACCCAACCCAATCCAATTCGTTTATAATCTGCAGATTCACGCATTTAATGAATTGGATTGGGTAAAAAAAATTATTGATCCACACATATAGATCAGGTACTTTAAATCAATCAACCCGACCCACGTGCTGCCTTAATCACAATGAATTTTATTAATGTTGATGAACAAAGTAAAGACACATGTCTAACAAATGTCGAAATCTAGTTTGTATATATCATTTTGGATTGTGTTAGTCTTCATATAGCATCATTTTGTTTTTTTAATATGACTTTCATTTTTCAAGAACTTTTGCATTTCTTTATATTTTACCTTTGATTTCAGGTATTTACATAATCTTTCTCGTTTTTTATGAAAATTAAATTCATATATTGAAGGGTATTTTCACAATATAAAATGATATATAAATAATTTACAAAAACCCATATCTTACTTGAATTTCTCATAATTAAACAAAAGTTTTTTATTTTTCAATTGACAAAACTAGAACATTCAATCTCACATACAAAATTTTGTTTTGCAATATAACATTTTTGAATCAGGAAAATGTCAAACCTAGATTCAAGAGAAGGGAATGTGGATATAGAGATCAAACCTAGATTCAAGAAAGGAATAGTGGATATAGAGATTTTAATAGTGGGGATTAATTTTGATACATCTGTAGATTTTATGTTATTTTTATGAATTAAAGAAAAAGATTGACAACTCAAACTGAAATATATTTATTTAAATCTTCAAATCAAACCTTAATATGTTTATATCTATGTATAAATTTACCTGAAGTATTTAATGTTTGAATTTTTGACTGATATATTAGGGTTAAAAATCGCTATTAATCTTTGAAATTTTACAACATAATATATAATTAATTTAGTAACACCTAACTTTAAATTCCAAACATTAATAAGTCTTTACCCAATATTGTTTTTTCAACACTCATTTAGTCTTTTTGTTTAACTTATCGTATTTAGTAAAACAAATTAAAAGCATAAGATCTTAAAGGTCTCCAAATTCAAAATAAATAAGCATAAATAAGATTATAATCGATCTATTAAAAAAATATTTTTTTTTTTCACCAAATATCAACATTACTCAATATTTGACATAAATGATAAATAAGTGCGAGAGAGTTTTTTTACGTCAACAACTACTTATCTTTTTACCTTTTACGATTTAGAAATCAAAAGTAATGAATTTTCAATTTTAAATTTATTTGCCAACATGAAATTATACACAACTATTTATCTTTTTAGCCTTTTAAAGGTATTTTAGAAAATAAAAGTAAATGAATTTTCAATTTTAAATTTATTGCCAACATGAAAAATTTATATATAAATGAATTTTACATTTTAAATTCAATTATATCAATCTGAGTGTATTAAATTAAGTCTAGAAATAGTTCAAAAAATTAAATGATAAGATGTGGTAAATCAATTTTTAAAATAAAAGTCTTAATAAGGTCAAATGTCTAGAACTAATTAATCTATACATATATTGATTTTTTTTATACTTACACGAAGTAGCTAGATCCGTATCCGTTTTAATGAATCACAAAATTAACTAATTTCTGCTCGCTCTCATAATGAGATTGACTTGAGAGAAATATATCGATTGACTATCTTAATTGAAATTTTAACATTTAAATAAAAATAACTTTTAAATAAAAAAATGTTTATTCTACTTGTTAATTAATTAATTTGGAAAAATGTATAAATATAAGCTACCGTCACATTTATTATATTTTCTTCAACAATTCAACTGCGTGAGCAAAGAGGAGATGATAACTTTCCCGCCAACCACACATTCTATGTGCTAAATTAATCAAGAGAAACATGTTAATTTGTTTACCAACCATTTGAACAGATTAATCTTCACCCTCTTATTAGCAGTTTTCATCAATTGTTTATTCTGAAGAGCAGCGGTTGAGTCATTGACTTCAACGCCGCATTGCAAAGATTTGAATTGGTCAATTCAATTCTGTACTTCCAAAGTTGATGGACTTTTCATTTTGTTTTTATTTAGGTTCATTTTGCAGTCATATGCTGATTATATTAACTGAAACTGTCAAAACCAAACTCTTCTTTATTAATCCGAAGGAAAATTCATTTGTACATGCATAGAGATTATCTCTCTATTAAATAAAGAATCACATATTGAGAACCAACAAAATCTTTGGTATTCTTATGCAAGTTCACCACTTTCCAACAATCCTATTCCTGGAGCTGCACCATTTTCTTTTTTCTGATTTTTGAAAAGGAAGGTAAGTATATATGTATAGTTTGAGTCTTGCCCTTTATTTATTTGATAAAATGTCCCAAGGAAAAACCAAGACTATCCTACAATGTATTAGATTCTCTTTTCCAAATTTGGAGTTTCAGACAAAGTTCTTAGTTTTTTTCTAGAAGCAGAAATTCCAAATGGCAGGACCAGTTGTAATGTTGGCTGGTTGTGCTCGGAAATTTCCTTTGAGATAAGAATAAGATGCTTTCTACTTACAGAAAATGCTTTAAAGAAAAAAAATAAAGGAATCTTCTTTTTTTTGGCTCGTTCCTCCAGGTTGCAGTATTATATCAACGTGCTAGCCATCACAAGTAGAATGCCTTCGAAGGATCAGATGGTTCCTGACAGTGAAATTGAGCAGGTTGGATTGCTTGATGCAGTTGATGATTTATATGATGGAGTTGTTGTAGAAATGAAGCAGCATATGGACGCCGACATTTTTGATTATGAGGACGCTCCGGAATTTTTTTCCATTACTTCTCAGAGCTTCGCCTTCCACCAATGGAAGCAACAGTACATTATTCATGACAGCTGAGTTGTATTCGTCCACTCTATAACTATAATTAATTATCCACCATTTACCACTTTTTTTTTTTTTATTTTTGCAATTTCCCCACAAATATACAAGTTGAGAACATTACAGCGAAGCTGATGAGATGAGACATTTTTTTTCCTAATTTTTACCCTATTAATATGTATTAAGCATTAATTTTACTATATTACATATGGGAAGGGTAAGTAATTTAATTAAAAATAATACTGAACTTCTTTTTTAATGTAAGAATTAATCCTTTCTTAATTTAGTAAATAAAAATCTTAAACACGATTTACTCTAATTCATGGATAGATCAGAGCGTAAAAAAAAATCTTAAACGATTTATATTTATGGATAGATAGAGTAATAGTTTGTCATGTACTCATTAAATCATTATTATTTTGTTGTGTTTTTATTAGGGGAAGAGAGGTGTTTGGATAAAACTGTCAATCCAACTTGCTAATCTCATCTATCCAGTAGTTCAGGTATGTACGTATATCTTGGAAGGTCAAACGTATAAGTTCCCTCTTAAAATTTAATATTTCAAGTTTAGAAAGACCTATTTATGGTTCTAATTTGGGTGATAATCAATTTCAGAAACATTCGAATCTAAATATGTTCGAAAATTACGATTTTAAACTAGACAAAAACAGAAGATATTAGTTCAACTTATAATCAACCTTAAAGGTTTTGACGGCAGTTTCAATCCAATGTTAATTTCAAATTGAAAAAAAAAAAAGTAGAAAAGGAAAAGTTTGAAACCTAGCATGGAACACAAAACTTTATAGACATAAGGTCTCGGATTAAAATCTAAAAAGTCCTGAACTATTGGTTTAGCCAAACTTATATATAAAGTCCAAACTCTTTAAATAAATAATCTAAAAGGTTTTGAACCAATGATTTAATGAATGATTAGACTTATATGTGAAACTCAAAACTTTTTGAGTGACTGGATTTAGAATTTGAAAGTCTTGAATTGATTTAATGAATGATTAGACTTAGGTGTGAAATCCAAAATTTTAACGACATATATATTACACTTGGACTGAATATAATTTTGTTGACATTATGCACGACTGTTTTTTACTCAGGATCTCTCAATTGACGAGGGTATCACTTTATGGTATTTCATCTTAAATCTGTCACTTAAAACGTCTAAACTTACATTTTTATAACACAAAACTACCCGCACCTTATCCCGGTGAAATGCAAGTGACGTGGCGACTAGGGTGCGTGAAAAAATAAAAATAAAGCGTCCTTAAATCTGTCACTTAAAACGTCTAAACTTACATTTTTATAACACAAAACTACCCGCACCTTATCCCGGTGAAATGCAAGTGACGTGGCGACTAGGGTGCGTGAAAAAATAAAAATAAAGCGTAGCAGAATTCTCTCTCCTATACATTCTTTCAGTCTCTCTCTCTCTTGCTTTTTCCTTGTTACCTCGGCTCCCTCTCTCTCCATCTCTATGTTTCCTAACCCATATCACAGTCCTATCCAACCCGCCACTCTTCCGTCTCTCTCTCTTTATCTCTGCAAACTGTTTGTACATACGACTCCAAAATCAAAGTTCCTTCCTATCTGCATTCTTTCTCCATCATATTGACTCAACCCTACAAAACACTGCAAAAGAATTCTCAAACATCAAAATAAGAAAGGCAAATCATCATTCAAAGAAAACCTCAAAGATTTCCTCAAAGAATTTCCAAATGTTGCTTCGACTCTTCACGGGCACTCTTCTTGATAATTATAAAATTAGTGTAAAAAAAAAAAAAAAAAACAAAAAAAAAAAACAATTTAAATATTATCTCTATATATATTAT